TACCTAGAGAAACTGTGGAATTTCTATCTCTGGAAATTTTCAAGAGCAGACCAGACAGACACTTGATGGTAAAGATGGTAAAAAGTCAGAGACAATCTTGCCTTGGTCAGGGTGCTGGACTAGATGCCCTCATAAGCTCTTCCAGCTCTACTTTCCTATAACCATATGATCCTATATAATATGGGCCTGAATGGTACCCACAGAAGTACTGTGAAGATTCAAAGAAAAGGATATTCTTCCCATGTTACACCCATAAGTGCTCTTGTGGGAAACTGTATCTGCAGGAGACAGTTGGAACCATTGTTGATGTTATACAGAAGGTTATGTTGTACAATACTGATCAGTTAAAACTCGGACAAGGTATGAGGCAGACCCCTGTCACACACCTTGGTTCTGACTAATTTCTGAACCAAACATAGTACCAGGAGTAAACCAAGCTAAGAAAATAATGCAAGTAAAAAATAATGGAATAGTCAAGTATAAAAACAAAAAGATTCATAAAAATATGAAATAAATTAGAACATTTTTGTGTATAAGAGGTACATTTCTGTACACAGGAGATACATTTCTGAATGTGACGAATTCCCAAATACCTTTCTACAGTTGTCATATCAGCAAGGTTATCTCAGGTACCTTAAGAAAAGAGAGCACATGTTGCTGCATGTTCAACTCCTACTTTAAGGGCCAGAATCCTACCATTTGGGTTATGTTTGGTATGCATGGTGTTACACAGGAAAATACAATGCATTTCTGATGCTATAGAAAGTATTAAGGTTTGCACAAATGAAACACACTGAAAAAACATGGCCAGAGGCTTTGAGGAGTTTCAGAAAGCACCAGAATTGCTGGGCAAGAATTAATCAAACAAAATGCAAACTCCATGTTAGAGAAATAACAGGCTAAGAAGAAAAGTTAACATTGTTATGTGTACAGCCAAATGAATTAAGGTCTGAAGCCATCACCAACATGACTTCCCCCACAACAAGGAACTAAGATTGCTTGGGATGGTGAACCATAAAGGGAAGCTTGGGCTAGTGGCCTGAATATCCAGCCTGGGAGCATTATTTTGTAAAGATGACTTGTGAGCACTGAATGCAAATCTTAATAAAGAGTTTGAGAAGCTGAAAGGAGTTCATTAAAGAGTCCCTGAGGTTAATTAAGGAGACATTAGGGCAGTAAAGACAACTAAAATAGCAAAGGATGCTTCTAAGGAGGATATTGGAGCAACCAGATTTAAATGGATTTACTGCCACGTAGCAAGAGTGGTGCAAATACCTCATGTCACAGGTTCACACGACTACACCGTATATCTCATAAACTAATTGAACATTAGTTGTCAGTTTAATTAAAAGGTTGATTATATATAAAGATTAGTTACATCTTTGAAATTGAGTGAATTAATGGTGAATATTAATTGCAGTTATTGTATTTGCCTGGGCAAGGAAGATGTACTTTTATAAGCCAATAGGAACCAATTGTTATGACATACAGAAACAATGCTACTCAGAATATAAGCATGAAATGAAGCAGACTTCTGTCCAATTCCTTGGCTCGGAGTGATTTCTGAACAACACACCATAGTGTTAGTGCGTAGGATTAGATAAAAGATTTATTCAGGTTAACACCCTTACCACAGGTCTGTGAAAGCTGTTGAGGTAGCTGTATCCAGGCTGTCTCCCCACTAGACCTAGCATAGTCCATAGCAGAGACAAGGAGAGGAGGTTCAGATGCTAATTAGGATATGACAAATTTTTGCAGATTCTAAACAGTTCTGGGTTGAAAGACTGCCCATGGACATCTTATTCCAACTTAAAGCAGCCTCCTGGACATCTACAGTGCACAAGAAGTCAATTCAGCAGCCAACCTGCCTTCCTCTCTTGGCTGTGTTTGAGATGGCTGCACATCCTGGAGGCACCACAAAAGATGTGAGGAATGACTAATGGTTCAAAAAGTCTCACTTCATTTTGTGTTCAGCATTTTACTTTTCAGAAAGAATCATATAAGAAATCTATAGCTATACTGTGGAGATTTGCAGGCATTGTGGATGGAGACAATGAACATTTGTTACACTAAAAACCAAGATTCATCATTTTCCTCTGTTATAATTGATCACAGACGATCACAACAAAGCTCAGGAATACAGATCAAACTCAAAATAGGACTCCCCCAGTTAACTCATTTTTATGAACTACTTTATTGATGGAAACCTCTAGAATTCCAGTCTGCATCACAGAGATGCAGGGAAAAGATAATACCAAATAGATATGTACTCTCTGAGGCAAACTCATCCGCCTCTCTCAAAACAAGCAGAGGGGAGCAGAAGCTAGTGGCACTGAACTATCTGTGGAGAAGACAGGAATGACTGCCTTCCCCTACCTTAGATTTGGGGCATTCCCAGACAGAAGTAGGTGTTTCAGGGACAAGGCCAAGACAGCAATTCCATTCTTACAGTATTTTTGGAGACAGGGTCATCGTGGCAGGATAGATGAAAAGCCAAGAGCAGCTTGTGCTGGAGAATTATAGAGCACACTAGAGGGCCAGCACACTGTGGAACTACAGCTTAATAGTATCCCTGCAATTCCTAATTATCTTCAGATAAATAATAACTAAATAAATAGCATGCCCCCTCCCCCCTCCCCACTTCCACTAAAACATCTGTGAAGAAAGCAGTCAGAAGAAATCTCATAAACCCTCCTAGGTGCTTGGCCCCTCCCCAGGAGCACTCCAAATAGCACTGCCTGCCCTGTCCAAGTGAAGTATTAGTGATACTTCAATACTATAAAGTGATACCTTTATACTATTTGATTATCTCAATATTCTGCACTGACAAAGCATTGTGTCTATGTCTACCTTTTAGGAAAGCCATTCAGGGAATATTGCAAGTATTCTAAACACCTGCAGTTTAGTATCAATTTAACAAATCCAGCACCATATGCTCTCACTTTTTATATAATGTGTGGAGTATAAGTCACTAAAACTCAAGGAGAAAGTGTACTTATATTATTTCAATGTGAAATATATTGTGCATATGTATTGTAGAGGGCTTTCCTATACCATTCAGCTTAACGTTTGCAAAATATTATTTTATAGGGAATTTTTAATTAAATTATAGGGGACATTTGCAGGGAAAAATGATATAACATAATAAACAATTGTTCACTAGATAACAATGGGTCATTTCTTAGTATGGAAAATACTCTTTAGTGAAATATTTCAGAATTTTCTTCCAAAAATATTTCACCACTGTATAACACTAAAAACTATCAGCTATAAACAGAATAGATAATATTAAGAGTCCATTTCTCATACTTGATACATCTGTATACCAATAGTATAACATCCTCATTCTGAATCTAATTAACTAGTACCCAAAATAGAAACATTAAAAGTATTATCAAAAGTGAAGAAACAGACTATAGAAGTGCACAGCATGGCATTTGCTAGCATACTAATCTTTATTGCCCTTTAAGATGATTAAAAGACTCACCACCAATGAAATCAAGAAATTCTATTGCATTGTTGAGTCAGATGTTTAAGTACATCAAGAAAGAAGATTTTTTTCCTTTTTTTAAAACCAAAACCACAGTTTATTTAAAGATCTAGTAGTCATGCAAGATAGCTCACATTTCATCCATTCCACCTCCTGCATCTTTCAACCGATTCCTACAAGCCCATAGCATTTGTAAATTTACAAGCATCTGCTCACTTGCCTTCCAATTATGAGATTTTGCAGTAGATAAAAGAAATGTAGATTGCTTTTAATACAGAATAATGGATTTAGATTGGATAGCAACTGTTAGAATAGTGAGGCAGTGGAATAGATGGTCTAGGAAGTTGTGGACTCTCCATTACTGGAGATGTTCAAGAAGAGTCTGGACACAGCCACTGGTCAGGGATGAACTAGGTGTAGTTAAGCCTATTTTCTACCATAAGCATTTTCCATTCTGGCCTACAGTGGTTGTGCCCCTCCCCCCAACTCTTTCTCTGCTATGTATCAGGGTGTTTTTAGCCTCTCCAGAGGCATTAGGTGTTAGCTACAGCTAAGACTTGCATAGAGTTTAGATTATGATTGCATGATATGGTTTAATTGAAACTGTCTCAGGCAGCGGGTTGGACCAGGTAACCCTCTGGAAGTCCCTTCCAGCTTACTTCTCTATGACTGTAATGAAACTAAGGAACAAGGAGAAGGAAGACCATACTATGCATAATGGAAAATAAAGGGCAGCCTAGTTTGTGACTTTGGAGGAAAGACATCCAAACCATGAAAGATCTAATAAACTGTGAGATTATTCTCTGGAAAGATAAACTTTAATTCATCCTGTGTGAACAAATTCCATAAAATGAAAGACAAATGTCAGTGTTGTGGCTGCTGACTCTTATTGCTGCTTTGCAAGCTTGCATATAAGATAACCATTCCAAATTCACTTCTGTGATCTGGGAGATATAGAACTATTCAGCTAAACTCAGCTTTCATTTTAAAGAAAATCTAAGGGTTTAGACTTTTTTTCCTTCAGACGGTTTTGAAAATCTTAGCCAACTTGAAAGCTAGTAATTGAGTTTATCTAATGTAGCCGTTAATCTGGTAGTTTCAGAAGGATTAACTAACTGGCTTTTGGAGCCCACAAAACCCACAGCTATAGTCCCTTCGTTTGGGGGGGGGGGGGGGGAGGAGGGAGGACAGCTAGTCGCCTCGTGTGGGGGGGGGGGGGGGAGGGGAGGTTGCAGATGCATATTTAATTTAAATGACTAGAGACCACTCAGACTACTACTGTTGGTACTGAGCCATACAAATGCTGTCCCCTCTTTTGTTTGACCACAGTTTAGTAGGCTTCTCTAAGGAGCTGCCATTTTGTCTGCTTTTAAAATGGGCAGGTTGAGCTCAGATGATTGCAACAGCAGCAGCCAGCTTGGACTATAAACTAAATTGGAGACAGCTCTCTATTAACAGAGTTTGCTACTCTGATACCCACTCAATCCTTCTATGCCTTTACCCAACTTACTTTAGTTTTGTCTTTATTTCCTTAGGTGAAAAAAAGTTACTAATACTTATCAGCATCACAGGTGAATCAGGTTGTTATCAAAATCCACCAACATGTTCACAAGACCCTCTCTTGCTGGAAGCCAAGTAACACCTAGTACCTCACTTTACTTGGACCTCTATCCTGAACCAAACATTTTAAAACATTCCCTAGCAAAAAAAGCTGGGGTGTGTTTTTAGTGGCTAATGGAGGACACAGCAATTGGTTTTTGTTTGCTTATTTTATTACAGTGCTATACCAGCTCACTTATCTTCCCCAGCCCAGTACTCATCTGATACTGACTGACAAGAGTCAGTTTTGCCCAGGAAAAATAGTGAAAACTTATGTCACTGGCCTCTTCTCTCTAAAAATCCTAAAATACACTATAAACTAGCAAAACAGACCACTTGCTTTAAAAATAAAAACACTTTTACAATGCAATTTTCCCTCCCTAAAGCTTTATTATTGGTGGTATATCAAGGACTGTAGTCAAAGTTTGCTTAGAAAGAAAAAATAACCCACAACCACCACTAGCCTCACCATCTCTAAAAAAACTGGCAGGAACAGCTTTTATAGAGTTCCCTAGTTTTCTTCTTACTATCTAATTGGATCTTCAGTCTCCAGCCCTGCTGCATTACTTCATCCTTTCCACCTGTGGGAAGTCTGCACAGACTGTTAACCTTTTATTACTAGTGTTTAACTAAGGCATTTGCTATTTACTTCTTTAAAGCGCATTGTGATGCTGTATGCCATGGACAAAATGCATGCCTGTTCAGGGGAATGGATGAGTTTTTTTCCTTTTACAGTCCTGGAGAATTGAACTGTTCTAATCACTGGTAATGTACTTGGGTACAATGATAGAACAATAGTTTGTTAGACTCTGGCTGGTATGCAAAGCAAGAAGGGTAGGACAGGAGGAAAGATGCTGGGGGATGTACAAGCAAGATCTTTACACTTAAGTACAGACACTGCGCCTTGCTAGTTTTTCTTGACCAATTAGATATCTCAAAAGGGACTTTTAGTCAGGAAGGAAAGAAGGAGAATGCCTCTCTGGTACAGAGGAAAATGGCCTTTCTCAACAGCTGTTTCCCTCTGAGCTTGAAAAATCTGGTGCATGTTATTTCCCTATGATCCTTTTTATTACTTTGTAAAGCCCATTCCACAGATATATGAGCCCAATTCTTCAAGTTTTGCTCAAGCAAAACTCTCATTGAAGATTTGTACGCTTAAGATCCGATCCTATATTTGAATGTTTCTTTGTTGTAGATTTTCACCCAGTGGCTAGCAAGGAGGTATCCGGTTCACCAAGACCAAATGAGCATTTACAAGTATTTGTGAACTTTTAATGATTTAGGGCAGAATTCACTTTTCATTTTTGTACCCAAGTGGCAGATTTCTAACTACGTAAGTGGCCTTTTTGACCCATAGCTGTGGGTAGTGATTCTATTTCTTCTGCAGAGTGGAAGTGGAAGTATGAAGGTGTAGACTGAACATGTACAGTATGCTACACACTGGGCTGGTAGGTATATGACAACATATGTGAGTTCATGGTGGGCACATACCTGCATCTAAGTCACAAAAAAAGGAGCTGGCCATAAACCTGTGACTAAGAGATTACAGGATCTTCCTTCTCTGGAATCTGCTATGTTTTAATCCCAGTAATTAGGTATCTATGGCATTCATCCAGTAAACCAGAGACCTTGGTTCTAGGCTCCACTCCCCCAAAAGGAGTTTAAACTTGCATCTTCCTTACTTCCTTGCCCAGTGCTCTAGTTGCTATGACACAAGTTGACCATAGGGTTTCCTTCTATCCAGCACTCCCTTTGAAGCTTCCCTTCCACCCTGCCTCCATCATCCAAGAGTGGAAAATATGTAGTATCAAGAGGATGAGAACAAACTAGAGGTGTGTGGTTCAGTGACATACAGGCTACCCTGAATGGAGGTGAGGAGATATGGGTCCTTGCCTGCACACAAACCCCATTAATGGGGCAAAAACTTCCCCACTGTACTGCTGTCTTTCCAAGTGGCTTGGCTTCAGAAGGAGTTATCTTTCTCCACCTAACATCTTACCAGATTTGTACTCATGCATACACATATGTGCCTGGACAGAATGTAGCCTACTGAGTGGGCTTAGTTTACAAGTGCATGCTTATACACCCAGAGTGGCAGAGCCAAAAATACCCAGATGCTCTGCTAGAAAATTGCCATTAAGCTGCATAGGGGAAACAAAAGCAATATATACACCTAAAGTGGAGATAATCCATGTTATGAAATAAAGACAAAAATTGACATTGCCCCTCCAAAATCATGAGGTTCTGCAGTTACTTCACATCCTAAGTACTTCTAGCAACATAACATCTGGATTTATTTTATTTTATTTTATTTTATTTTGCTTTAGTTGGCAAGACTGTAGGAAATAGAAATTGCCCCAAGTGCATCTGGACTTATCCAATATTTGAAGCATGTGAATGAGAACTGAACAAGAGTTGACTAGAGCTAATATATTCTTTTCCTATAGCACTTGCAAGGCTATTAATTATTTGCATAATTTAATGACCATTTACATGATCTAATCCAAGGTTACTTATCTTTCTGGTCCACAAAAAATGCACTTTTTTTTAAGAAGTAGGTTTCTGTGTGAAAATAAGAAATGTATTTATGAACAATTAGGCAAAGCCTGAGTTCTCTACACAAGTCTTACTTACTCTTTCCATAATAGAAGCTGAACTGCTTCAACTTCTGACCCAATGTTAATAAGAAAACCCCAGTAAGTCAGTAGCTTGTATTCTCATGGGTTCCCATTTGAAGTGGGACAGGCACACAGTTTGTAATTTATGGTCATGAAAACTGCTTTACTGATGTGGAGTTACTTGTATACTTAAAATTAAGCATTTGCTTGAATGTTTACTAAAGCAAAGTCTAAACGGTTACTCATCTACTGCAAGTCAATTGACTTCTATACAGTACCACTGTACTGAACCATAATGAAGAAAATGTCTCTGATAGTGACAATTTATGTGGGGACAGTTTATATAATATTTTGTGAGGACAAAGGTTCAAGGATGAAAGGTATACAGATATTAAAGATCCTGTTTAGGGATCTTGAGGAGGTTCTCTAGCAAGGTGATAATTATCAATGTGAACAGCAAAAAAAATGGGGATCTTTTATTTACAGTTACTGTCAAATCAATCAAGCAAAATATCTGAATAAAAATCTCTTTCATTTACATAACAGCTTTAATAAAAATGTTCCAAAGCCTTTTCAAACCAATTTATATTTATGGACACATTAAATAAGTTTACTTATGCCAAGTTAATGTCCTGACAATATTAATACTCTTCTACCTGCTCTTGTTACTGCCTGAGTGATGGGTGAGAGTGCTATGTTCTCCAAATCTCCTAAGTATCTCCCCGGAAAAAGACAGAATTACCAGTATAGTGGGGTTTGAAATGCTTTATCTTGTTTCTTTATCATGCCAGTAGGAATCCTAATTAATATAGTTAGGTTTAAGGAACTATACTGAATGATAGTTTTTTATCTGCTGGTTTTTTACATACCAAATGAGGGGGATGGTACATTTCAGCTGGAAATACTGACTAAAAAGATATCCAAAAATATGTTAAAACTGCTATGGAGATAGGCACTGGGAAAGCCACAAAGACCAAGAAGCTATCAGCCAGCATGCATAAACTGACTGTTTGGTTTAATTTCAGTGAATTGCTAGTTCCTGGCAATAAGATCACAAAGGGAAAGGCTATCAAAATAATTTAAAATCTTTAAATGTAAATAGACTGCAGCTGAAACAGTGGGTCTGGCCTGAGGGAGATTGCAGGCCTTTGTGTGCTATGAGTGAAGACAACAATACCAACAGCATCCTAAATGTTTTGGGGATATGACTGTTTGCCATAGATCCCTGAAAGGGAAGCTTGCAGGAACTGTGAGGAGTGCAGCTGGCAATTAATGGTACAAATATTTAAAAACAAAAAACAAACAAAAAAACTCCCAACCAGCCATAAAATGGCATGAGCAGTCCTCAGGAGTGATCTATTCATGAGCCATCAGCTTTAGTCCTAGCCTGTTTGCTTTGTCCATGTTGCTGTATGTAAACCACACATTAGGTTTCCTGAGTTCTTTTCCAACACCTCCTGCATAGGAAGGGATGAATCCTGTTACCCCAAGAGAGGAGTCACTCCCCTCTCCTCCCATCCCAGTGAGGTGCATCTTGAACAGGAGGCGATGAATCCAGCCCTCCCAAATGACTACTGTATATATAGCAGCAAGTAGGACAGCCTTGTGCTTCTGCTCAAAACTCCCTACAATAGTCTCCTGGCTTGCAGTGAGGAATTGAGCCTTGGCAGTTAAGAGTGCCATGGAACAGGATATACCAACTGACATCTCTGTTCTACTCCAGTCAAATAGGATTTGCCACATGGACCAAATTAAATCCTTATCTGTGTGTCACATGTGCAATTAGTGTACCTGAATAAACTCTGGTGCAGTTGGCACCAATCTTTACTACTCCCAAGTATGCTGTTTGCATGTGCACCTGGGACCACAGCATGTTAAGCCAGGGTGAAGCAGCCCTAGCTGGCAGGGAACCCCGGGGGGCCAGCTTGCCAACCTGGGGCTGCTCCCACCCAGCTCAACAGGCTGTAGAGGACCTGGCTAGGTAATGAGGGTGCTTCAGTGCAGGGCTAGCCAACAAGAAGCCCCTGTGTTGAAGCACCCTTTTGCCCCAACCAGCCCGGTCAGTGTCTACACATGTATTGTAGCAGAAAAAATATCTCTGCAATTGGACAGTATTTGTGTCTGGTAGTACTATCCTACAGTGGAGTTAATTAGTTTACTCCATCCTAATACCACTGCATGTGTAGTTGCTGATGTTTTACTATGGAGCTAATTAGTCAAATCCACAGTAAAAGTCTCGTGTAGGCACACCCAAACATGGAGAAGAGGGAGCTGAAACCTTGCCTCCCATGGAGTTACCTCTGAGCCTGAAAGGAGCCCCCTCTTTGGAGGTACTAGGATCAAGGTCTGTCTCTCCAGTCA